TAATAAATGAATCAAAATTTAAAACAAATCAAAAAGATAAACAGAGAAACAACTACTATAAATAATATAAAAATAAATTGTTTTAAATGATATGTAATGAGAAACAATTTAATAAATAATTCAAATTTCTTGTTTTTTGCAATATCAGAGTATTATTTTGAATATAAACAAAAGATGACAATGAAAATTTAGTAACTTTTGTTCATATTGATTGTGGTACATGTTATTATCATAATAAGAATAAATATGTACAGTACTAATGAAAAGAATGTGATTATTTTAATCCATATTCTAGCAATAAACGTTCTATTAGTGTTTATGAACAAACATATAATATTAGTGATGAAAAATTAAAACGTCTTATTTATGTTGGGTTGACATTAGATATTCAGTAGAAATTAAATAACTACAAAGGATAGAAATATGAATTTTGCATGTGAAAATGAAAAAGAATGTTCGTGTAATGATATGAATAAATGATAAATTATAAATACACATTTTAAATCATCTGAGAATGCAGAAAATTATTACCATTATAAAAATAATTTGAGAATGTATTAGACATTTATCCAAATAAAAAAATATTTTGACAATAAAAAACTTCACACACCAAAGAAAGGACATGTGGTGCTTATACAAAAATGTAAAATATGTATGTAAGAAATTAATTTAGATACTATTTAAATGTTATTTCATCCATTAGCGATTAGTCACAATACCATTCTGAAACTATTTCAACTTTGAGTATTATCTTTATTGTTGTTCTTCCTTTCTTCTTTCAATTAACTTTAATTATTGTAGTTTTATTATTTTGTTTGTTGTTAATAAAACTTAAACCAATTATTAGTTTTCTATCTTATTATGTTTACTATGTTTGTATTATTTATACTCATTTCTTTTTTTTGTTTTATTTCTTTGTAACTCTATCAAATTCCTATTTATTTATATCTTTATTACCTTGTTATTTTCTTTTTAAACAAATTTGTTATTTATGAATTTTATCTACGTTATTTGTGCTTGGTATTTCATATCTTATAATGACAATCGTCCTTCTTTTCTAAATTAATGATGTTTTGATATTTAAATATTTTTTTAACATTTTTACAGTATTTTATGTATTATTTTACTATACTTTTTATTATTAAGTTTCTTAATTTTTTTCTATTTTAATTGATTTTATTTTGTATTTATCATTCTTCTTCAACTTTTCTTTCTTTCTCATATCCATTTACACTACTTAAATAGATATTAAGTTCTTGTTTTATATCTTATTGACTTATTTATACTATGACAATAATGGTTATTACTTCGATATTTTTATAGTTAATAAAACATCTTACCTTAATGTCTTTTGATAACTTTCCCTTATCAAATCTTGTTTTAAAACATTGTATTATTTTCAATTACTTCATTTATTCAAATGAAAATAGAAGTTGTTCATTTCATTTGTTCTTTTTTGACATTGTATACTTATAATTCTCTTATGTTTTATTCCATTTGTTTTCTTTGTTGTTATTAAATCATTTTTCTTTTATTTCAATTGATATTATTGTTTATAACTAAGTTTATTGTAATAGAGTATAGGAAATAAATTTTGTTTTGTTTGATTAGAGACGTATAACTATGAAATAATAAACAGAGTTTTGAATGAACTAGTAAATTATTCTATTTCAATTAGAATGTAAGAAACAAACATCTACATTCAATTAACATATTATCCTTTTTTTATAACAATATTTCTCCATCTTCTTTTTATGAGCCTATTTCTTATTAATTCCTTCTGTTTCATTTTTTATTTTTTTTTGTGTCTTTCTTATACATCAACCTTTTATCTTCTTTATTTCTTGTCTCTGTTTTCATTATGTTAAATAACATCATTTGAACCATCACATTTCTATTTCATTGTGTTTGATTATTTTTTATTCATCAAATTTTATACCATCACATAAATATCACATTTCCATCTTTCATTTAATTTATTCTTCTATCATTTTCATATGATTAAATTCACTTTTTATTGTGATTTCTAATTAGTATTTTGTTTAAATTTGATTATCATCATAATCTATTTATATTTATTACTTAAGCATTAATACAAATTTAATTAACATTAACAAACATCACTTTTATTTCTGATTTTGTTTATATTCTTACTTCTTCATTTTTATTACACATTTCTTCTATTTTATACTTGAATTTTTGTTTCTTCTATTAAAAGAAGAATTATAATAATAAAATATAATTCTCATCAATTGTAAATAAGTGATGTTCATTTGTCTCAAATAGTTTAATTAAAGAAACAATGAGTAATAAACATATAATGATAAATACTACCTTTTAAAAATGAATGAAAGTTATAACCATTTGTTTCATAAAAATATCATTTCTATTCCATTTAACTTTAACAAACTCATGACAAGTGATAAATCAATACTTCTATTCAATTATATACAAAAAATATTAACACTAACATTTTCAATTATCATTTACTAAATTAAAATTGAAATAGATATTAAATTTTCTTATTTATTTGATATTATTTCATTCACTCTCTTTCAAGTATTGTTCATGATGTACTTCTATATCTGTATTCATCTCTATTGTCTTCACATTATTTCATTAAGTTTTTTATATTATTATTCATTATATTTTTTTATCATTATCTCTCTTAAAATTATAATGTTTTGTTCTTTCACCTCTTATAGACTCTTTAATGAATATTTAATTTATTGTAATTACTATTGAATTATTTTTATTTGATTCTATTAATTAGTCTTATTTTATCTTGGTGAATTTTATCCATTAAGTTTATTATAAATACTACACTTATTTTTATCATTACAATTATCATATCAGTTATTATTCATATTTGTTTTATTTATATTCTATATTAAATATCTAGTCTTTTATGAAATATTCAATTTTATTAATTATTTTTTGATTCAATACTATGAATAGTTCATTATTTTATATTCTTATTTTGATTCTACTTATTTCATTTTTATTAAATATTAATTTCATTTTATTCTATTTTATTTTATTCTCCATTTTTTCATCATTCATTATATTTATTTTATATTTTAATTTATCACATTCAATTCATTTATTAAATCATGTTTATTAATTTATACATTATAATTTAATAATATATGTTTAATTGATGATATTTTATCATTATAAATACTATATTATTTTAATTTATTATTTTATGTAATTAATACTTTCTTAATTAATCAAATGTACTATTTTCTTACATTAATTTTAATTAATTATAATCATTTCATTTTATATTAATATTCATCCATATTCTACTTGTTAATTTCATATCATTCATTTAATTTTCAAATTATTTTATTAAATGAATATTTATATTATTTAATTTTAATTTATTAATATATATTTCATTAAATTTATTATTTAAATATTTTATTATTTTATATGAGTTATTCTTATTTTATATAATTTGTTATATTTCATTATTTTCATTTTTATTAATTCTTTTACCTTATGTTTTATAAAATCTCTTCTAAATTCATTTCTTATTCATTTTTATCATTTCTTATATTTCATTATTTCAATTCATAATATATTATTATTCTTATTAATTTTAATTTATATTCATCTCTTAATAACATTAATCCATCTCCTAATTTACCTTTATTATTATATAATCTTTACTTAATGATTTTGAGTGAATATTTGCCTCTTGTATCTTCTTTATAATATACAGATCAATTTTATCTAATTTAGTGATTGACTAATGGATCATAGATGCAGCATATCTGAAAATATTGATATAATCCTATTGATAATTTTTATTATTTTCATTCATTTTTTGAATATCTATTTTGTCCATTATATCATTTTCTATTTTATTAATACATTTTTACATCATCATTCTTCTCATATTTGATACACAATGATATTTGTATGACTTGGAGTCATCTACAATTATTATTTTAATCATGTTATCGATGATTATAATATTTTATTTTCTAATTATTACACATTTATCAATATTTACTTCAATATCATTTAATTGCATTAATGATAAATTGATTGTTTATTTTAA